ACTAACATTCATATAATAATTCATTCACTGTAGGTGACACTTTAAACAGCTCACTCATATTCTCACTCTTGACACTCATTATCTCACCCTTTGGTCCTTTCATACTTGCAAGGAGGCCCAAAGAACATAAGAAAATATTAATGTAGTTGCAGAAGGCCTCTTGGCCCATAACAATACATGTACGCTATTCACTGACTTTTATAATTAAATGTACTTATGTTATGGTTAGTGAAAAGGGCAGATATTTTCATTTCATCCTTTTCCTATAAAGCTGTTCTTAATTTCTCCAAGAGAAAGCCTTCCTTTGAGTGTAGGAAAGTGTATAATAGGCTACTGAAGAGAAACAAGAGAAAAGAGGAGGAGGAAGTCACAATCGACTTGAGAATGGTCCAGGACGGACCAAAACATCGTAGTCCCTTCACCTTCTAGTGTGTGGTCTGGTCAACAGAAAAGAGGAACAATGTCTTCACACACTGTGCTTCCAGCAAGAAGATAAAGTGACGCTTGGACAGACAAAGGGGCAGGAGGCTTGCTAAATGCAGTTCATCTTACCAATGCAGTCTCAGAAAACCCAAAAAATTTATATAAAACTTTGTCTTATGTCTCCCGAGGGTTTTGCTAATCTGATAAATATAACGGTATTAAAGCTGAATCAGAAGCGGCCTAACAGAACAAAAACTTATTAAAAAAATAATGAACATGGGATGAACAAGGCAGATTAGTGAAATGAATCGCCTGATAACAGCCTGATTAGAGATTGTATCTACGGTGAAACTTGCGTGTATGATGAAACTCGCATAGTATGAAGATTGAGTGTATGGTGTACGGTGAAGATTGCGTGTAGTAATAGTATTAGTAGTATAAGTAGTACCGTTAGTAGTAACACGTAGCAGAACTGACAGTAAATTTTGTACAACTTATAAGCCGTATTAATTACAATGTGTAGCTTTACAATTTATATAAATTAATTATTACTACTAGTAAATACTATTTTCTATTCACAGCACTAATATAAGTATTAACTGTAGTAATTGTAGCAGCAAAAATATTAAATAATAAAGTCAATCAAATTGCTAAATACATTTCTTATATAATTTTCTCCTTATTAGTTCCAATGCAATTTTTATATCAAACATTCCTGGAATTATAGAAGTAGTTATACATGATTTACACCTCAATAGCGCGAGTATGACACTGGAGTTCATGAAAATAAAAAGTTTCATGGCTCCCGAGTCAGTAATAACACAGATTGTGGAGAAAAATGAATGAAATTCGTTCTTTCAGAGGAGTCAAAATTGCCTGATGTTATCTGCTTGGGAAGTCATGGATCCTCTTGTGCCTCCCATGAACACAGACCTTTGTGTGTGTGTGTGTGTGTGTGTGTGTGTGTGTGTGTGTGTGTGTGTGTGTGTGTGTGTGTGAGTGGAAGAAACATTAATGTCAAAATTATATATTCAGTAATGCGTGTTATTCCATACCCAAATTTTGTATTTTTATTCTCCCGAAGTTTCAAGATTTTATCTCCAAACAGATGTGATGGTAAACCATTTGATGGTTCGTTTATGGTAGGAAAGGGAAACTCTCAGACCAGAGTTTCGTGTCCAGTTCAAAATGTCGGGGCCTTGAAGACGTACTGTAATAGCACCAGTGTCCATAAATCACCCTTGGCTTTCCTCTCAACCCCAAGCCAGGCGAGGCACCAGAAATAATGTCCGTGACAGCGAGACAGGGAGTCCCTCACGCCCTCAACACCATCAACAGAGGACCAAGCACGGCCCTCTGTTCGGAAAGATTGCGAGAGTCCTTTTGTGTGCCTTGGATGTTTGGTCATCCTGCTGGGAGATCGTCACAAGCGAGACCAAGCGAGGTCGCGAGTGCCAAGGTGTTCGATCATTCCTGGGTCAGCGTCGAAGGGTCTAAGATCACGACACGGTACGATCTTCACTCACGTGAAGAGGGAGTGTCGTCGTACTCTCCCTCCATCGCTGTCAATTGATGGAGGGAGAGTACATTACAATATCGTTTTGGTAGGGACGCGAGTCTTATTTTCCTCGGCGTCACCCCTTTTATATGAAAGGAACCGTCGGAAATGCATCCGAGGTGCCGTGTGGTCAATCGCCAGACAGAAAAAACTTATCAACTGTCTTCAAGAATGTTATTTTCTCAAATTACCTGGCTATCATCTCAGCCTGTCGCTAGGGAGAATTGCAATTTCTCTGGTGCAGTAAGAAAAAAATCACATAAACGGACCTGTTAGTAAAACCGGTTCTAGGGAAGAAGACCCAACTGACAAGCACGCATGCACGCATTCTGGGATATTGACAAGGTAGACAAGGTTAGGCTATTTAAAATAGGGGGGGGGGGGACATGAACAAGACAATGGGTATATAGAAAATAGGAAACTAGGAATGAGTGACACAGAGGGTACAAAAATAAAGGTTCTTTGTCATCGGGGAATAATGAAATAGACTGAAATAGAGAATTGGTTGTTTCAGACTACACAAACAACTTTAAACGTAACGGTGACAGAACTTGAAAGGTTAAGCAACATGTACACTATATTGAAGGTCAATTTAGTGGTGACACTTAAGAACTGGTACTTAATTCTCTCTCTCTCACACACACACACATACACACACACACATACACACACACACACACACACACACACACGCACACACACACACGCACACACGTGCACGCACACACGTGCACGCACACACGTGCACGCACACACGTAGACACACACAAGAAGACAAGTTCGGTGGAACATAATAATGTTCAGTAATTTGTACACCAGATGATTGACAGTTGAGAGGTGTGACCAAAGAGCCAAAGCTCAACCCCCGCAAGCACAATTAGGTGAGTATAACTAGGTGATTACATAAACATGCCAACTGGACTGCCAGAAAGTTTTTGAAACTCTTCTCTTGTACCAACTGGAAAAACAGGCTGATAAATCATTAAGAGTACTAAAGTATATGAAGGAGTACCTACCAGGAAGAAAGCAAGGAGGCGATGAGTCACAATAACGAGGCTAAAGTATGTTGACCAGACCACACACTAGAAGGTGAAGGGACGACGACGTTTCGGTCCGTCCTGGACCATTCTCAAGTTGATTGTGAGACTTGAGAATGGACCACAATCGACTTGAGAATGGTCCAGGACGGACCGGAACGTCGTCGTCCCTTCACCTTCTAGTGTGAGGTTTGGACAACAAGAAAGCAAGGAGTTATATAGTAAGAGTAGAATAATCAGAGTACGTTGACCAGACCACACGCTAGAAATTGAAGGGACGACGACGTTTCGGTCCGTCCTGGACCATTCTCAAGTCGATTGTGAGACTTGAGAATGGTCCAGGACGGACCGAAACGTCGTCGTCCCTTCAATTTCTAGTGTGTGGTCTGGTCAACATACTTCAGCCACGTTATTGTGACTCATCGCCTGCATATGAATCAGAGTACCCCAAGGGTCGGAACTAAGGCCCATTCTATTCCTAACATAAGAAAACTATTTAACAGAGCTAATGAGGCGAATCAAGATCTTAGGTGGACTGCAATATATATTAGAAGATGAACTAAATAATCTTATGAGTTGGTCTGAGGAATGGCTACTAGAATTTAACCTCAATAAATGCACGATTATGAAGATAAGAGTTGGAACAAAGAAGACCTCAAATACACTCCAGGATCAAGGAAAGTCAACTTCCAACAAGTGGAAAAGAGAAAGTGAACGCAACTCGATATCTAACACCAGAGGCACACGTCAGCAGGATAACGAGGGCAAATATCTGGTTATCCTTCAAGAATTTGGACAAAGATCCCTTCAGAGAGCCATATACTTTGTGAGACCAAATATTGAATATAGAGTCTCAGCCAGGAACCCCTTCCGGAAGAAACTCAAATTCAAATCTTGAAAAGGTCCTAATAAATGCAATAAGGATCGATCCTGAGCTATGAAGAATGACACGGGGAGGGAGGGAGTTTTCAGGGGAAAGTGCCATGCCATTACGACTATATAGCTCTTGGAAAGGGGTCAGGATATGGATTTGAGATGGGACGGGGGAAAAGGAATGGTGCCCAACCACTTGGACGGTCGGGGATTGAACCCCCAACCTGTATGAAGCGAGACCGTGGCTCTACCGTCCAGTCCAACTGTAAGAGCAACTCCTCACTACTTTTGAGTCGAGAAGGTGTTGGGCAAACATGTTAACGACTTACAAGATACTAAGGGGGGATTTAAAAAGTAAATATTGAAGCAAATTAAGGAACAGTAGCACAAGAGGACACAATGGAAAACAGGAAACAAACGCGTCTCAAAAATACCAGATAGAATTTTCGAGTCTGTGACATCTTGGACATGATAACACAAGATAACATCTTGTGTCATCTTACACAGCACAGTGGTTATCTTGAGGATATCTTGAGATGATTTCGGGGCTTTAGTGTCCCCCGCGGCCCGGTCCACGACCAGGCCTCCACCCCCAGGAAGCAGCCCGTGACAGCTGACTAACACCCAGGTACCTATTTTACTGCTAGGTAACAGGGGCACAGAGTGAAAGAAACTTTGCCCATTGTTTCTCGCCGGCGCCTGGGATCGAACCGAAGACCACAGGATCACAAGCCCAGTGTGCTGTCCGCTCGGCCGACCGGCTCCTCTTCTGTACTGCAGTGCACTACAGTGGAGTAAAAAAAGCAGAGTTCTCCCCTTTAGACAACTCACTGCTGCAGACACTAACAAACTCGACCCTGCAGGTACACATACCTGAATACCAACCACACACACACACACACACACACACACACTCACACACATTTTTAGCGCCACTCCTTCCTCAAATTCATACCCCCCTTCCCCTGGTACCTCAGGTACCAGTAGGGGATCTACCTGCTGGCTGAAGGAGGGAGGGGAAGGGGTGGACTGAAGGGCACCAGGAGGGGGGAAGGTAGTAGGGCTGAGGGGGGCCACTGACAGGATATATATAAAGAAGAAGCTCTCATCCAGACCTCACATTTCCTCGGCAGATCGCTTGCCGGAGGGTCCTCTAGCGACGGTGACTGTGGACTGTGTGTACTCGTGGGAAAGTTGAGCCGTCAGTGAGTGCACCCAAGTTTTCTCATTGCTTTCTTAAGCTCATTTTTTGTCATGTTTGATATATATACACACACGCATTCATATATATATATATATATATATATATATATATATATATATATATATATATATATATATATATATATGTCAGATTAGGTCACATTACCTCCCTTTAAGAAATAACGAGAGAGAACGAGAGGGGGAAGAGAGAACGAGAGGGGGAAAGAGAGAACGAGAGGGGGAAAGAGAGAACGAGAGGGGGGAAAGAGAGAACGAGAGGGGGGAAAGAGAGAACGAGAGGGGGGAGAGAGAGAGAGAGAGGGGAGAGAGAGAGAGAGAGAGGGAGAGAGAGAGAGAGAGAGAGAGAGAGAGAGAGAGAGAGAGAGAAAGGGAGAGAGAGAGAGAGAGAGAGAGAGAGGAGAAGGGGAGAGAGAGAGAGAGAGAAAGGGAGAGAGAGAGAGAGAGAGAGGGAGAGAGAGAGAGAGAGAGAGAGAGAGAGAGAGAGAGAGAGAGAGAGAGAGAGAGAGAGAGAGAGAGAAAGAGAAGAGAGAGAAAGAGAGGAAAGAGAAAGAGAGAAGAGAGAGAGAGGAAAGAGAAAGAGGGGAATTGAGAGAGAGAGAGAGAGGGGGGTAGAGAGAACGAGAGGGGAAGAGAGAGATTACCGCCAGATACAGAGACAAATCTATAATTGACTCATTAACGTTTAACTCTATTCATTATATAAATATCTCCCGTCAAATGGTTTATGAAGTCAGAGCCTCAACCTCTTCAGAGACGTCCTAGTATTTTATATATTGGCCCAGAGTGTGTGGTAGTGGTGTCGCTGTTTCTGTGTTATGGGAAGGTATAAAAAAATCATAGGACCAAGCGACACAAATTAGACAAGAAAGAGAATGTTGAGCAAACTGCATATTTTTGGATTATTTGGAATCCTTGGACACAGTACCCGATAAGAGACTAGGGTATAATTTGATCAAGCAGCAGGCAAGAGTGACAATGTACTCCAGTAGATAAGGGAGTATCTAAGCAACAGAAGACAGCGAGTAACTGAGGTGGAAGATATCTCATTGTGGCGAGATGCCACTAGGGAGTTCCACAAGGAACAGTTCTAGGACCTATCCCGTTTCTTTTATACGTAAACGATCATCCTGAGGAAATTCCATCCTCTCAATGTTTTATGATAATACAAAAATTACGAGGAAGATTAAGACTGAGGAAGACAACAAGAGGATACAAGATGATCTGGACAAAGTGAAAGAATGGTCCAACAAATGGCCAATACAGTTTAACCCAAGTATATGTAAAGTAATGAAGCAAAGCAGAGAGAACAGAAGACCAGACACAAGATGTCACACGGGAGATGAAATCCTCCATGAAACGGATAGCGAGGATCTAGAGATTGATATCACACCGAACCAGTCTCCTGAAGCCCACATCAAAAGGATATCTGCAAATTATGCGAGATTGTCTAACTGCATTAAGAAATTTGTGTAAGGATTCCAGGTTGGAGTCCAGACTTAGTTAAGTTTTAAACGAGATATAGTACACATATATTAAAGCACAATACACACATAATTGTTGCCATGGACCGTACATATATGTCAGTGTTGCCATGTGCCGTACACATGTACACTTGTACGGCATATGTTACCGTACACGTTCTTATCCCTTGCAGTTCATATGAATTCCGGTTCCTATCTATTGTGCCTGGGATATCTTGGGCTTGTCACCTGATTATGCGACATCTTAGGTTTGTGACCTCTTAGGCCTGTGACATCTTAAACTTTTAGCCTCTTGGGCCTATAACATCTTGGGGCTGTGACATCTTGGGTCTGTGACATCCTAAACTTTTAGCCTCTTGAGCCTGTAACATCTTAGGGCTGTGACATCTTGGGGTCTGTGACATCCTAAACTTTTAGCCTCTTGAGCCTGTAACATCTTGGGGCTGTGACATCTTGGGGCTGTAATCTCTTGGGCTTGTGACATCATGGGGCTGTAATCTCTTGGGCTTGTGACATCATGGGGCTTAATTTCTTAGGGTGTGTGACTTATACGTTACGTAACCTCTTGAAAGGAGGTTCTCACTCTCCAAACGCCACTTAAGAACTCTTTATTTGCGGACGGACAGTGCGTGTAGTGGTGGTGTGGGTGGCGGTGGTGGCGGTCGGCCTCAGCTGTGCTGCCAAGTTGGACCACTTGACGGGCAAGGGTGAAGGATGCGACTGCGACCAAGGTGGACCTGGCAGCAAGACACCCATTGGAAGCTTCTTCGTGGCACCGCTTCCATCGGGGGGCACCCACACCTCCTTCGCTGGGTGAGTCTTGGCTTCCTGCTTCCTTCACTGCCTTACTCAGTAACCAGAAGTCTGATTATATACAATAAAAGCAATATATTGCATATATAATAATAATGTTCTTAAATAAAGTTAGTTTATGTAGAACAAAGTTATAGGTTACTAGTTGCATTAGTTCGAACGCCAACTTTTTCTGCAGGTTCGGATCCCCTTCAAAGATAAAGCCCGGAGGAGGAGTCCTGGGGTCGTCGTTCCAGACGTCCGCCACCCAAGGCAGCGGGTCGTCCTCGACAAGAGGGTCGTCTGCAGGTGGTTCTTTCACATCTTTTGCTGGGTAAGTCTTATGCACCTATGTGTTTCAACGGCTTCTCACATATGGCATTGGTCTACAGCCTTTACCTTCCAGCCCTATGACAAATCTAGTGTGAATAAGAAATTTGTTAGAATTTCAGACGTTATACACAAAGGTAAAAGAAGCAATAAGTCTCTGGTGATTTGGTAAGAAGGTAATTAATAATCATTTTCTCCTACAGATTTAATACTGGAAGTAGCAGCGCTGCTTCCAAAGGGTCGTTCCATTCTGGCTCTTATACCTCATCACAAGGCGCTGGAACGGGAGGAACTGTGGCTGCAAGCGCACAAGCTCCTTTTGCTGGAACCCGCAGGGCTGGAAGCACTGGAAGTGGATCTTCCTCTGGTGCATATGGAGCGACGTCAGGCTCACCAAAGCCTGGAAGTCCATTCGGCACTTCTGGCACTCCTTCGAGAGCTCCTGGATCTGGAAGTAGTTTTTCGTCTGGTGGAGGGCTTGGAAGTGGGTCTGGAAGACCTGGTACTGGAAGTTCTTCAGCTGCAGGTCAACGTCCTGGAAGTGGACTCACTGGGTGAGTGTTTTTTTCATGAAAATTCATTCTTAGATTCGTTTGTTCAATGACCACTTTATCTTCAATTAGCCTCTGCCTCAACTTTCACATGACTACATCCATATGCGCATAACTTTTATGATATAACTTTTCATTTTTTAGTTGCAAATCATTGTGTACATTTAACAAAACTAAAATATATATATACAACATTGAATATGTAATATTAAATGTTCTTTTTAATTAGTATTTAGTACTTTTAAAGAACTAAGGTTATAAATTTTCTCTAAATGAATGTACGGAATTTAATTTGAATTCAATTCTGATAATTTCAGTGTTTGATATTTGAATAATAATAATTACATAATTTTGTATTTGCTTTTGATATGCAAATGAGAGAAAAGTTAACATAGAGAACAATGGAAAAATAAAAATGGGGCCCAAACTCAAAGTTTTCAACAAATATTCCTGGACGTGCTGATGCCACTCTTGACAACATGTTTAACCTTAACAACTTTTCATGTACAATAACAACACTTATTTTCCTATTAGATTATAATAGTAGAGATATCTATGTTAAAATTTTTTTAGAGATTTAAAAAAAACATTCAATTCTCTTGGTCTTCGACATTGCCAAACATCAATTTTCGTTAGCTGCAGTGTACTTTGATTTGTTAATTAATGTAAACCGCAGTTTTAGGTTAAATTATAGTTCAAACTAATTTATTTCTGTGATTTTATTATATGTGAAATGTCACTTTGTATCACAGTAAAAATTATTGCTTATCCATGACGTTTTCTCCTTGAATTGCTTATTCTTCAAACACCTTTATTTCACTTCATTGATAAACCATTTCATGCAGATTGGGCGCATCATCTAAGACGAAACCAGGAGGTGGAGTCCAGGGCGCATCCTTCCAGTCGTCAGTCACTCACCGCAGCGGGTCCTCTCCGGGTAGTGGGTCGCCTGCTGGAGCTGGTCGTGGTAGTGCTGGTGGGTCGACCACCAGCGGGTCTTTCACATCCTTCGCTGGGTGAGTCCTATGGAAGACCTCTTATCTCCTTCCACCTCAGTAATGCCATTATAATAATATATTCCAAGTGTCCTTTAATCCGAAGTCTTTTCATTGGGGCCTGAAAACATTGAATTTGAAATACTATACACTTCATGTGTCTAAAATGATGTTTACAATTACATTTAAAATGATCCAGGAATTAAAGTTCCGCAGTGTATAGGTAAAGCACTTAAATATATATTTTTTCTTGCAGAGATGGTGCTGGAAGAGGCAGCGATGCTTCCAGAGGTTCATTCCATTCTGGCACCTTTACCTCAACATTAACCGGTGGAACGGGGCCTTCGGGTTCACGTGGTTCATTAGGCACCTCTGGTACTCCTTCGAGAGTAGGCGGCCCTGGAAGTGGGTCTACATCATCTGGAGGCAGATATTCTTCCTCTTCACATAAAACGTCGTCCAGCACGCCAGGGTCTGGAACGACTGGTGGGGGAATTTCTTTTAGTGCACACAGTTCTTCAGCTGCTGGTCAGTTTCCAGGAAGTGGTTCTGGAAGTGCATTCACTGGGTGAGTCTCTTTTCACTAATCCCCTCCCATCTTCTCTCATTCTCTTTCCCATTCTCTCATTTTTTTCTTTCTTTCTCTATCTCTCTCTCTCTCTTCCTGCAAATGAGTTAAAAAATGGAAAACGTCAAATAAAATATTTAATATATTGTGTAAACAGATTGTAATTTTAAATCAATTCAGTTATCAATTTGATTTTGATAGTTTGACCAATAGTGATTACTAAATTTTAAATTTTCTTTATTTGCGAATTTTATAGAAAATGCAAAGTATATCCCGATTCGTGAATTCGTGTAATCAGCAGCTTAATTGCTATTTAGGCTGTTCGACTGCACTTTTATTTCTATGATTTCATTATATTGCTGCTGTTTCATTGATGTATTTAATGTATTTCAGTATTTTATTGCTGCATTTCATATTTCAGTGCTGTTAAATTTTTATTTTTCTCTTTAAATTGATAATTGTTGAAACAATTATATGTCTTCTTCCGTTGACAAGAAATCATTTCATGCAGATTCGGTTCACCTTCCAAGACAAAACCAGGAGGAATCCAGGGCTCGTCCCTCCAGGCGTCAGTAACTCACCAAAGTGGTGGTGCTTCTGCTGGAGCTGCTCATGGTGGTAGTAGTGGTGGTGGGTTGACCACCAGCGGCTCTTTCACATCCTTCGCTGGGTGAGTCCTATGGAAGACTTCATGTCTGCTTGAACTGCAGTGATGCAATTTTAATAATACATTCCAAATGTCTTAATCCGAAGTCTTCACCGATGCCTAAAAAATCAAAGAGTGAATACTACACTTTTCATGTGTCTAAAATAATGTTTCCAGTTACATTTAAAATGATCTAAGGATTAGAGCTCCTCTATGTAAAGGTAACGCACTTAGACATGATATCATTTACTCTATCTTCCAGAGATGGTGCTGGAAGCGGTAGCGATGGTTCCAGAGGATCATTCCATTCAGGCACCTTCACCTCAACATTAACCGGTGGTACGGGGCCTTCAGGCTTTGGAACTGGAACCCATGGTTCCGGAACTGGAACCCATGGTTCTGGAACTGGATCTTCCCTTAGTGGTCACGGTTCATCCACCTCACCCGGGTCTGCAAGTGGCCTTACGAAACCTGGAAGTTTGTCAACAAGAGCTGGAAGTGGTTTCTCATCTACTAGTTATGGATCTTCCTCTGGATCACGTGGATCTGGTACAGGATTTGGTGCTGGAACTAAAACTGGCTCTGGTGCTGGATTAGGGTCTGGTGCAGGAACGGGTACTGGATTTGGTGCCGGTACTGGTGCTGGATTTGGTACTGGTACCAAAACTGGCCATGGAGCTGGAGCTGGATTAGGTGCTGGTGCTGGTACTGGTGCTGGATTTGGTACTGGTACCAAAACTGGCCATGGAGCTGGAGCTGGATTTGGTACTGGTACTGGTGCTGGATTTGGTACTGGTACCAAAACTGGCCATGGAGCTGGAGCTGGATTTGGTACTGGTGCTGGTACTGGTGCTGGATTTGGTACTGGTTCTGGTGCTGGTACTGGTGCTGGTGCTGGTGCTGGATTAGGTACTGGTGCTGGATTTGGTACTGGTACCAAAATTGGCCATGAAGCTGGAGCTGGATTTGGTACTGGTGCTGGTACTGGTGCTGGATTTGGTACTGGTACCAAAACTGGCCATGGAGCTGGAGCTGGATTTGGTACTGGTGCTGGTACTGGTGCTGGATTTGGTACTGGTGCTGGATTTGGTACTGGTGCTGGTTCTGGTGCTGGATTTGGTACTGGTACTGGTGCTGGAGTTGGTACTGGTACCAAAACTGGCCATGGAGCTGGATTTGGTACTGGCACTGGTGCTGCATATAGTGCTGGAACTAAAACTGGCCATGGAGCTGCATTTGGATCTGGTACTGGTACTGGTGCTGGCCCTGGTGCTGGTACTAGGGCTGGATTTGGAACAAGTACTGGTACTGGTGCTGGATTTGGTGCTGGATTTGGTACTGGAACTAAAACTGGCCATGGAGCTGGTTTTGGAACAAGTACTGGTACTGGTGCTGGATTTGGTGCTGGAACTAAAACTAGCCATGGAGCTGCATTTGGAACAAGTACTGGTACTGGTACTGGGGCTGGATTTGGAACAAGTACTGGTACTGGTGCTGGATTTGGTGCTGGAACAAAAACTGGCCATGGAGCTGCATTTGGAACAAGTACTGGTACTGGTGCTGGTACTGGGATTGGATTTGGAACAAGTACTGGTGCTGGCTCTGGTACTGGTGCTGGAACTAAAACTGGCCATGGAGCTGCATTTGGAACAAGTACTGGTACTGGATTTGGAACAAGTACTGGTACTGGTGCTGGATTTGGTGCTGGAACTAAAACTGGCCATGGAGCTGCATTTGGAACAAGTACTGGTACTGGTGCTGGCCCTGGTGCTGGTACTAGGGCTGGATTTGGAACAAGTACTGGTACTGGTGCTGGTACTGGTGCTGGCTCTGGTGGTGGATTTGGTGCTGGAACTAAAACTGGCCATGGAGCTGGTTTTGGAACAAGTACTGGTGCTGGATTTGGAACAAGTACTGGTGCTGGATTTGGAACAAGTACTGGTACTGGTGCTGGCTCTGGCGCTGGTATTGGTGCTGGCTCTGGCGCTGGTACTGGTGCTGGATTTGGTGCTGGCACTAAAACTGGCCATGGGGCTGCATTTGGAACAAGTACTGGTACTGGTGCTGGATCTGGTGTCCATGGGTCCATTGCACCAGGATTTAGTTCCCAATTCACCAAAGTAACCTTCACCAGTGACCACAAACCTGGATTTGGTGCCCAAAGAACCGGATTTGGTCCTACCGTCTCTGGCACCGGTGCCGGATTCGGAGTGAGCACTAGAACTAGTTCTGGTACAGGATTAGGTGCTGATAGTGGCACTCGTTCCGGTGCTGGATATGGAACTAGTTATGCAACTGGAACTAAAACGGACTCTGGTTCTCGGTTCGGTGCAGGTTCTGGTGTTGGCACTAAAACTGGGACTGGGGCTGCATTTGGAACCGGTCCTGGGTCTGGGGTTGGTTCTGGGACTGGATTTGGTACTAGTGCTGACCGTGGTGCTGGATTTGGCGCTGGAACTGGTACTGGTGTTGGAACAAAAACTGGTCATGGAGCTGGAAGTGGTACTGGTGCTGATCGTGGTGCTGGATTTAGTACTGGTACTAAAACTGGCGCTGGTACTGGTTCTGGATTTGGTTCTGGGACTGGCTCTGGTGCTGGATTTAGTACTGGTACTAAAACTGGCGCTGGTACTGGTTCTGGATTTGGTTCTGGGACTGGCTCTGGTGCTGGATTTGGTACTGGTACTAAAACTGGCGCTGGTACTGGTTCTGGATTTGGTTCTGGGACTGGCTCTGGTGCCGGATTTGGTACTGGTACTAAAACTGGCGCTGGTACTGGTTCTGGATTTGGTTCTGGGACTGGCTCTGGTGCCGGATTTGGTACTGGTACTAAAACTGGCGCTGGTACTGGTGCTGGATTTAGTTCTGGGACTGGCTCTGGTGCCGGATTTGGTACTGGTACGAAAACTGGCTTTGGTGCTGGTGCTGGATTTGGTACTGGTACTGGTTCTGGAAGTGGTACTGGCGCTGATCGTGGTGCTGGATTTGGTACTGGTACGAAAACTGGCTTTGGTGCTGGTACTGGTTCTGGATTTGGTTCTGGGACTGGCTCTGGTGCCGGATTTGGTACTGGTACTGGAAGTGGTACTGGCGCTGATCGTGGTGCTGGATTTGGTTCTGGTACCACATCTGGCTTTGGGGCTGGATTTGGAGCTCATGGCAAGCCAGGTAGCCAAGATTCAAGGGGTTCCGGCACTTATGTCAGCAGTAAGTTCACTTCCACAAGGACTGGTGTTGGTTCTGGCACTGGTTCTGGCCTAGGATCTGGTGCAGGCACTCAAACAGGCTCTGGAGCAGGATTTGGCGCTGGAACTAAAACTGGCTTTGGTACTGGAACTGGTGCTGGATCTGGTGCTGGATTTGGAGCCCTTGGTGCTGGATCTGGTGCCCATGGTCCTGGATCTGGTGCTGGATCTGGAGCTGGATCTGGTGCCCATGGTCCTGGATCTGGTGCTGGATCTGGAGCTGGATCTGGTGCCCATGGTCCTGGATCTGGTGCTGGATCTGGAGCTGGATCTGGTGCCCATGGTCCTGGATCTGGTGCTGGATCTGGAGCCTTTGGTGCTGGATCTGGAGCCTTTGGTGCTGGATCTGGTGCCCATGGTGCTGGATTTGGTGCTGGATCTGGAGCCTTTGGTGCTGGATCTGGAGCCCTTGGTGCTGGATCTGGTGCTGGATCTGGTGCCCATGGTCCTGGATCTGGTGCTGGATCTGGAGCCTTTGGTGCTGGTGCCCATGGAGCTGGATCTGGTGCTGGATCTGGAGCCTTTGGTGCTGGATCTGGAGCCTTTGGTGCTGGATCTGGAGCCTTTGGTGCTGGATCTGGAGCCTTTGGTGCTGGATCTGGAGCCTTTGGTGCTGGATCTGGTGCCCATGGTGCTGGATCTGGTGCCCATGGTGCTGGATCTGGAGCTGGTTTTGGAGCCCATGGTGGTTCCAGATCTCACTTTGGTGCTGGTTCAGCTACTGGCTCTGGAACTCAAGTTGGTTCCAGCACAGGATTTGGATCTGGTACTGGGTTCGGTGCCCTTGGAGGTTCCAGTACTGGGTTCGGTGCCCTTGGGGGTTCCAGTACTGGCTTTGGCACTGGAATCGGTGGCCTTCCAGGTCTTGGAACTGGAGGCTTCAAGGGAGCTGTTAGTCACTTCAGCAGCGGACACACCAGTACGGGTCCTGGAAGCCTCGCTGCTGGTAGCTCTTTCAGACACGGTTCTTCAGGCTTCAGCTCTCAAGCGTTCTCATCGTCGTTCGCATCATCTGGAAGCTTCAGTACCGGCGGAACAGGTTAGTCTCGCTATCATATTACTATCACTAGTCCTTGCTGTCAACGTTGCTATTAAAATTATTATTACATGATTTTTCAAGCAATTTAGTGCATATAGTTCTTCCATTTCACACTACACTACAATCTATTATACTCTTCTCTCCGACTCTTGAATCATGGCACTGTACAGATTCTCTCTTCTACAGACTTAATACCTTTGGTGTTAAGTCTGTAGAAGTTAAGTTTCACTTATGGGGAACGCTAATATCTGAAATGATGCTATTCTGCTAATGTTCTCGAATGATTTTCGAAACCAGTTGTCTAGAGTATTAGGGAGACTTATTACGCCTTTGATGCCTCTATCTCAAGGGTTTAGCTGCTTCTTTGGTAAATTTTTCGCTTCCCTTGTTGTGGTGTTGCATATGTCTTACATAGTTGTGTTCCATCTAAGGTACATTCCCTTCCTCGTAATCGATGAATACCCTCTAACCAAACCGGTGTGTTACATTCTCACAAACGACTAACAAACTTTGTGTGTTTCTTTGTCAGTAACGCTTGACGTCGTCTAACAAACCTAGAGTAAACAAACGATTGACTGTTACAAACGTTTGATTCTCACCAAATACTATCACAAACGTTTGACATTCTTTGTGAACAGTTGCTATATATTTCCTCAAGCACACATATCGTCCAGCAACAACACCCATTCGCTAAAACTGTTTTACACCCTCTAACACACACACATGTGATGCACCTTCTCTGTATACCATCTAACATGTTTCCCATCCCACCTCATTACGTGTCTATGTTCCAGTACATAATTAGTTATGTTTCTCATCTTCAGTTTTCACTGACCGCTCTTCCCTCTGGCCCACAGTTCACGCCGGCTTCTGCCCCAACGTTACTGACAAGTGTCCTAGTAAACATGCAAAGAAGGCCACCAAATGCATCAGTGACGCCACGTGCGCACTTACTGAGAAGTGCTGCTTCGACGCTTGCCTGCAGAACGGGCCGGTTGAGCACTTCGTCTGCAAGCCGGCACTTACCAAGGCCCCCGCATGGTAGCAACATGGTGGCGGCGATGGCAGTGGTGGTAATGGATGCTTGTGATGCCATATTTTAGTAAGGACTCGTGGGTAGTGGCACTTCGTAATTGCAGCTCCAGATTGCAGTGTTTATGATGATTGATGATGGTTCGCTGGAGAAAAGATACTCCTGAAGGTATAAAAGGGATAAGAAGGAGTCATCTTCTCTCAAATCTGATGATCCCATTACTCGTCAGGACGGAAACTAAACTGATAACTAAATTACTTCATCAACAAACGAAATTTCAGGTCTGAAATCCGATTTAATGGTCAAGATTTGGTCATGTATTTGACTGTAAACTCGATATCTATGTTATTACGAATTACAGGTACCAAGCTTGTTTCCACAAAATTGTGGTAAACCAAACTGTTCGTGAATGATGCCATAATTTATCTGCCCTCCGTGACATTATATAATAAAAAAATAAGTATATTTATTGTTATTATTTTTGTAATAACTTGTATTCCCCTCAATTAGTACTTACACTGAGAAAGTGCATAATTTCCTGAATGAATGCTAGCAGAATGCACAAGAAAAACATCTGTTTTTGATATCCTAATTTAAAACCGAGCCACAGGTGAGATATTTATATCATGATACTACATGTATATTAAAAATCTTTCTTGCTCGAAGAATGAGCAATTTTAGTGGCTTTGGATATCGTGGTTAGTTTTTATTTGTCATCTTCCCATGAATACCGTGTGAAGTCATTCAGATAACGAAATATGATCACTGTAGTAGGCTGTAGTCCCATAAGACCGAAAAAGAAGTAGGGCTGTTGGTCCATACCTGATAGGCACAGATTACATCAAATTATTTTCACTGATGGTTCTCGGTATCGTAATTTCAAACTTCCAAGTAGATGACGTTACATGGAACTTTAGTACGCTCGTCAGAGACCCCACTGACTAGCTAATGGTTTCTTACATAAATCATTTTAACGAAAACTTGTCTAACATTTCTTTATGACTTCTTTCTTGACAGTTTAGCTTTAAAAACCTAGTTTATTTCCAAATTTTAATACCTTTCATTCATATGTAGTCTTCAGGCAAGAATCCCGTTGTTCTACTTATACGAAAATAATTAACCAATTCAAATTCAGATTAAATTATTAGTGTTTGAATTTATATTTAGGTTAGTTTACATAAACTAACATTTAATTATAGACCTAAGAGGAATAGTAATTGAATAACTCCATATTCTTAATACATCTTCAAAGAAATTATTCCTGAATCCGGGAATTACGGTTCTCTTCACACTGTATGTGTGTCTTGAGAATATAGATATACAGTGTGAAGAGAAAGGTAATTCCCGGATTCAGGAATACTTTGAAGATGCATTGGGAATATGGAGTTATTCAATTACTATTAGTTCCTCTTAGGTCTATAATTCAATGTTTATATTATATATATATATTATATATATAGTATATATATCCATACTATAGATTAGGGGCCCAAGTGATACAGCGTAACCCAGGTGAGGTCTCATTAGCGCCAGGTAAATTGAAGGGGAATACAAATTTTACATTCCACTTAGTCTCAGAGCCACTTATGTGGAGGAACAATAACTCTATATAGAGCCAAATATTGTGTTCACTCAATGAACTCCTCTTTGTCTTCGCCTCCTTCCCTCATCACAATCGACTTGAGAATGGTCCAGGACGGACCGAAACGGTCGTCGTCCCTTCATATTCTAGTGTGTGGTCTGGTCAACATATTTCAGCCACGTTATTGTGACTCCTCGCCTGCACTGAGTTCACTCTATGTCGAAAATAAACTGTTGTAGATGTTCTGAATTTCCAACAATCGATGCGAAACGATCCTTTGCTATTGAAGATCTGACATTAGACAAATTTATTGGGTTGATCAATTTTTTTGTTGCATTCGCTTCCTAAGTTACAGGTTATCGTTTCTGTACCATTATGTCATCACTCGTTAACAGTGAACACACTGTAGTGAAAATTAAACAAGAGTTAAGAATGGGGATGACTATTCAGGTCAACAATCTGTCACACTAGCAATAAATATGAATAAAAAGAGAAACGCTAAAAGAGAGTAGGGTAAGTAAAGATAAATCTTACTGGTTACCAGAGAGAAAACTATTAAAAACTGAAGAAATCAAACTATTATCAACTCAAGAAATCAAACTATTATCAACTCAAGAAATCAAACTATTATCAACTCAAGAAATCAAACTATTATCAACTCAAGAAATCAAACTATTATCAACTCAAGAAATCAAACTATTATCAACTCAAGAAATCAAACTATTATCAACTCAAGAAATCAAACTATTAAACTCAAGAAAACTATTATCAACTCAAGAAATCAAACTATTATCAACTCAAGAAATCAAACTATTATCAACTCAAGAAATCAAACTATTATCAACTCAAGAAATCAAACTATTATCAACTCAAGAAATCAAACTATTATCAACTCAAGGTGTCCTCAGGGCCTGACGAAGTATATACCAATGTTCTTAAAATAATTATAAAAGAGCTTAGTAAGCCCTCATTTTTTTTAAATATTTTATACTGAAGTCGTTATATACAACACAAATTACGAAACATCGAATATGAATTAGATAACACAAAATCAGTATATAGGAAATGGAAGTAATATTAAAGAGAAATTGTAAACACACAACTGAAGACAAGACAAAAATCACTGATTTACGAATCAAATACAAATGAAGGAGGAGAGGAAGATGGTCCTGGACAAGAAAGAAGATTCACCCACACGTCACGAAGACCTGAACCTTCACGCTCCAAGTAACTGTTAACATATGAGCTGTGTGTGAGAACATCACGTTTCTGGGTACAACCAGAGAGAGAGGGAAAGAGGAAGAGAGGACAGCAAGAGGGTCAAGGGAAAACAGGAACACCTCCCACCACGAAGGACAGAGTGAGGAGGAGGATCAGGAAAATCCCACAGTCAAGGTCCGCCTTCCCCTGTGGTTAGGGAAAGCCTAATGGCAGACGTGATGGTGGTTGGTGGGTCTTCCAATTGAGGTGTAGTGTCAAGGGTGTGTGAGTGAGTGTGAGTGCGTGAGGGCATCGAATGGGTTAGGGCGAGTTTTGTAAATGAAAAGTCATTCTGTTTATGATTGTGGGTGTGTCAAGAATTTCCATGGACATCGTTGTACATTGTATGAAGGGTATTTGAGGACATCAAAGAAAGGTTGAGCAAGTCTGTACGAAAGACTGCTTTTGGGGATATCAAACACAAGACAATCGACTTGAGAATGGTCCAGGACGGACCGAAACGTCGTCGTCCCTTCAACTTCTAGTGTGTGGTCTGGTCAACAATTGACAATATACTATAAAACTAAAAAATGGTCAACCTACTCATGAAAAACTCCCCAGACACCGAACAGAACGCCTTAAAGGAAACCAACGTCGTCTATGCCTTCAAATACCCACTTGGGGACTGTAAGCCCCAAAGAACTCAGTATATAGGCAAGACAACAACGTCTCTTTCTAGGCGATTAACAATGCATAAGCAACAGGGGCTCCATCAAGGAAAATATAATCTCTTCTCACAACCAGACCATCACCAGGGAAATCTTAACAAACAACACAGAAGTCATCGATAGATACAGCGATAGCAGAAGGCTCGACACCAGCGAGGCACTACACATCAAAAATTCAACACCAGCAATCAACAGCCAATTAACGCATAACTACATTCTACCAATTTCAAGTCCCCGTATGGGCCAATAGGCCCTCTGCAGTTACTTTCATTCTTATGTACCCACCTCACCCAATACCCACCTCACCCAAAACGAATATAATAGCAAGATGTAGGTTAAATATATCATACAGTGTATCAAGTGTATCATAAGTGTAGTGTTAAGTGAAAACAAGTCTTTTCAGAATGTAGGAAGCCCTTACGAAACGCTTCTAGACCAAAAATAAAAATGAATTTTGGAGAGTTGCTATTTCAATTACCCTCGACAGTGCAGAAAAACACAAGAAATATTGAGAAAATTCGTGTTAAAATTATTATTATTACCTTTTCGGTCATATTCAACAACATATGTTTACAAGAAAGACTGCTACCAAAACATACGAATTTTATTATTATTATTGTGTGTATATAATATAATATATATATATATTATATATTATATATATATGGTTACTGTCAGAGGTAAAATCCCTCACTGCGACGTCACATAGATAATAACGTCACAGCTGAACATGTAAAAACAGGGAGGGAAAACAGGTTTTTTTTAGAACAAAGACCGTGAATGGGTGAGAGAGGGTGGGGGAGTAATGGGTGTGAGAGGGTGTAACAGTGTGTGTGTGAGAAGGTAACAAGGTGTGTAAGGGTGAAAAGTGTTACATAACGTAAGCACGAAATGAAATTTATCGAATTTATCAGCTACAGCCCCGTTCCTGTGCCAGGTAAGTCCACTACGGGCTCACCATAGCCCGTGCTACTTTGAAACATTTTGTTGCGAGTAGCTGAATCTAAAAACACCACCACCACCATGGAATTATTGTGTGGAAGAGGCGATCTGGAAACCAAGGTACAGAGGAGATAAGGAGAAAGAGGACAGACGAGGAGGGGATAAGAGAGGAGGGGGGAAGAAGAGAGGAAAACTGAAGAGGCACAAGATGAATCAGCAAGACGGGAGAGCTCAAGGCTGTTCCCGGACCACCTGTGATTGTAATGAGGACCGGATCGTTAGGAAGATGCTGTAAGATAGTCGGCTTTTCTTAACACACCCATAAGAGGGTTTGGAAGTGCAGAGGAAGGCTGTGGCACAGGTTTGGGATAGAAGTTGAGGAGTCAGAGTTAGAGGCATCAGAGAGGAGGGCGGAGCCACTTTATCACAGGTAAGGGAGGGAGAATTTTCTCGACAGGGTGAGGGAGATTCCACAGTAGTAATGGGGATGGAGGTATCACTGGGTGAATGTGGGAAGACCTAGCAAGTGAATGGTAGGTAAGGCACCACAGGGGATGGGGTGGAAAGGTCCCACAGGGGATGGGGTGGAAAGGTCCCACAGGGGATGGGATGGAAAGGTACCATAGTGGATGGGGTGGAAAGGCACGACAGGGGATGGGGTGGAAAGGCACCACAGGCAGTGGGATACAAAGGCACCACAGGGGATGGGGTGGAAAGGCACCACAGGCAGTGGGATGCAAAGGTACCACAGGGGGTGGGTATGGAAGGTTACAGAGGGAGAGGGTCGGGGATGTAGGATAGAGTTGAGGATAGACACTCGGAAGTGGTAATATATTTCACATATAATCGAGGTGGCTAGTTCTCAAAATGGCGATATTTTAGTTGAAGGAAGACTGACTTAAACTGTCTCAATACTCTAAGTATCCATATCACCAGTCACTTGAGTTGAGGACAAACTCGAGGTACATCCAGAGACTTATTCCTTGTCTCGTACTCACAATGATCAGGGTTCTG